TTAGTTCTAATTTGCCCCATGTTAGTTTTAATCCGCCTATGTTAGTTCTAACACACCTCATGTTAGTTCTAGCTCTAATTCATCTTAATTCTAGGCTCTTGGGCTCTCAAGTTAGTTCTAACTTACCCCATGTTAGTTCTAACCCGTCCCATGTTAGTTCTAGCCTGCTCCATGTTAGTTCTAGCTCTAATTCATCTTAGTTTTAGGCTCTTGGGCCCTCAAGTTAGTTCTAACATGTTTCATGTTAGTTCTAACACGCCTCATGTTAGTTCTAGCTCTAATTCATCTTAATTCTAGGCTCTTGGGCTCTCAAGTTAGTTCTAATTTGCCCTATGTTAGTTCTAACCGGCCCCATGTTAGTTCTAGCCCGCTCCATGTTAGTTCTAACTAGTTCTAGCTCTAATTTATCTTAGTTCTAGGCTCTTGGGCTCTCAAATTAGTTCTAACTTGCCCCATATTAGTTCTAACACGTTCCATGTTAGTTCTAACACGTCCCATATTATTTCTAGCTCTAATTCATCTTACTTCTAGGCTCTTGGGCTCTCAAGTTAGTTCTAACTTACCCCATGTTAGTTCTAACCCGCCCCATGTTAGTTCTAGACCGCTCTATGTTAGTTCTAGCTAGTTCTAGCTCTAATTCATCTTAGTTCTAGGCTCTTTGGCCCTCAAGTTAGTTCTAACTTGGCCTCATGTTAGTTCTAACCCGTCCCATATTAGTTCTAACACGCCCCACGTTAGTTCTAACTCTAATTCATCTTAATTCTAGGCTCTTTGGCTCTCAATTTAGTTCTAACTTGTCTCATGTTAGTTCTAGCCCGCTCCATGTTAGTTCTAGCCCGCTCCATGTTAGTTCTAGCTAGTTCTAGCTCTAATTCATCTTAGTTCTAGGCTTTTGAACCCTCAAGTTAATTCTAACTTGCCTCATGTTAGTTCTAACCCGTCCCATGTTAGTTCTAACACCCCCTATATTAGTTCTAGCTCTAATTCATCTTAATTCTAGGCTCTTGGGCTCTCAAGTTAGTTCTAACGTACCCCATGTTAGTTCTAATCCGCTCCATATTAGTTCTAACCCGCTCCATGTTAGTTCTAGCTAGTTCTAGCTCTAATTCATCTTAGTTCTAGGCTCTTGGACTCTCAAGATAGTTCTAACTCGCCCCATGTTAGTTCTAATCCGCCCCATGTTAGTTCTAGCCTGCTCTACGCAGTTACGAAGGTGGCGGCCTGCACTTGCATCAATAACCGAATTCATCCAAAATTTTCAAAACAACAACATCCAAATAACTCCCCTCATTTCAACACTTTACCAGAATTAGTCCGCCGGTAACTGTTCCTTATCTCCCCCTCCTTCCCCGTAAGCACCCCCAAACTCCCCAGCCTCGCCATCCCCAGCACGAAGTACCTCTTGAAATCTTCAAACCCGTTCGCGAACTCGTTGGTAATCTTGATCTCGTCCATTGTGGTGATCATCTGCTAGTCGATGCAGAGGACGCCGTGGTTCTTGAGGACGTGGTCGAAGTAGGAGCTCTAGAATGAGTGGTTGCTATTGCCTGAGGTCGGGTTGAGATAGACGGTCTCGTTAGAGATTCTAGAGCCAGTAGTGTTTGGTGTGCATGTCTTTCTGAGCTCAGCGACGAGGGAGGGGGTCCATGCACTCGTCAGGCCTGCCAGTGTTGTTGAAGTTGTAGAGCCGGTCGTGGATGTAGTGGCAACGTGTCTTGCCTATGGTGTGTGCTTCTGTAGTTATAGTTGATTGATTTAGTTTGCAAATTGTGTTCATAATTGTACTGTACACGTTTGTTTTGGGGTAACAGATTTTCTAGGCTTCCGTGAGTTTGATTGCAACTAGAGTTGCTACTTAAATTCTCTTTACATCTTAAAAAAAGATTACAATTAATTACAACCTAAGTCTGAAACCGTACTACAAGCAGCGCAATAGTTTCTACGGCGGGGGAGCGGCGGCGATCTACGGCGACGAGGACGGGCGGAGGAGGGGAGGGGAGGCGGCGGCGAACTTGATGGGAGTCTTGGGGGCCTGAGCGGAGGCGGCGACGACGACGACGAGGAGGGCGAGGGAGAGGAGAGAGAGAGAGAGAGAGAGAGAGAGAGAGAGAGAGAGAGAGGATATGAGAGAGAGAAAGGATATGAGTGTTGGGTCTGAGGGATTGAGGAGAGAGGATAAGGATAATTTGGGGATTTTAGTTTAGCTGGCATGTAATAATTGCTAAAAAGGGGGCTGCAGTACAAAATGTCATACTTCAAGGGGCTGATCCACATGAGGGAAACTATGAGGGACCTCGTCATATGAAGTTTCTATTTTTGGGGCCTAGACACATTTTTCCCTTACAATAAAGAATAGAACTCCTAGTTAAATTATACTTTTTCTAAAAAAAAAAATCCCATCACCTCCAAGTCCAAGAAAAACATGTCCTCATTTGTGACTGTTACTAAAGCCATTAATTTGGGGTCATTTGTAGTTCAAGGGTGTAAATTTTTTTAACGTTGATAACCCAAAGCCTCCCCAGCACGAAGTACCTCTTGAATCAAACCCAAGTTCGCGAACTCGTTTCGGTAATCTTGATCTCGTCCATTGTGGTGATCATCTGCTATCGATGCAGAGGACGCCTGGTTCTTGAGGACGTGGTCGAAGTAGGAGCTCTAGAATGAGTGGTTGCTATTGCCTGAGGTCGGGTTGAGATAGAACGGTCTCGTTAGAGATTCTAGAGCCAGTAGTTTTGTTGGTGTGCATGTCTTTCTGAGCTCAGCGACGAGAGAGGGGGTCCATGCACTCGTCAGGCCTGCCAGTGTGTTTGAAGTTGTAGAGCCGGTGTGGATGTAGTGGCAACGGTCCTTGCCTATGGTGTGTGCTTCTGTAGTTATAGTTGATTGATTTAGTTTGCAAATTGTGTTCATCAATTGTACTGTACACGCTTTGTTTTGGGGTAACAGATTTTCTAGGCTTCCGTGAGTTGAATGCCAACTTAAGTTGCTACCTTAACATTTCTGTTTAACATCTTAAAAAACAGATTAACAATTAATTAGCAACCTAAGTCTCGAAACCCGTACTAACAGCTAGCGCATAGTTTCTACCGGCGGGCGGAGCCGCGCGGATACTACCGGCGACGGAGGACGGGGCGGGAGGATAGCCGGCGCAGGACCGGCGGGCGGCCGCCGAACTTGAGGGAAGCCTTGCGCGGGACCTGGCAGAGCGGCGGCGGCCACGGCCGGGCGCCGATGCGGAGGGTCGCAGGAGGGCCGACCGGGCAGCGCCGCGGTGACGCCCAGCTTAAGAAAAGCCCTTGGCTTTATAGAGAGAGGAGAGACGAGAACGAAGGACCCCGGACGAGAGGAGACGAAAATCGAGAGAGCAGCGATGAGGACAGGGACGACCGCGGCCCGGAGAAGAGAAGGACGGATATGACGAGGGAGAGAAAGGGCATATGATGTCTTAGGGTCTGATGGGATTGAGGAGAGAGCGATAAGGGATTACATTTTTGACGTTGGCATGAATATCCCGCGGCAATTGTGTTGCAGTTTAGCTGCATGTAATCGTATAATATCGCAATGGAAAAGGGAAATGATGGGTAGCGTATTGTCTGTGGCAGTACAAAATGTACCATACTTCCAAGCGCCTGGGGCCGTGACTCCACCGATCGAGGGAAACTATGAGGCACCTCGTCATATGAAAGTGCTATTTTTTGGCCTAGGACACATTTCTTCCCTACAACTAAGACTCCTCAGTCTAAATTATAGCTTTTTGTCTAAAAACAAAAAAAGTCCCATCTCACTCAAAGGTCCCAAGAAAAAACAGGTATGTCCCAACGGACCATCAGTAACTACATCTTGGATGCTACTGGTCCTCATTTGTGACTTCACTTGAAAGCCATTAATTTGCCGGGGTCCATTTGTAGTTCCAAGCCAGGCTGTTAAATTTTTTTAACGTTAGATAACAAAGCCCCCCCCCCCACCCCCACCCCCCCCCCAAAAAAGAAAAAAAAAAACTAAAAGCCAAAAGAAGTCCAAACAAATTAAGGCTAAATATTAGAAAACCCCCTTAGCTTTCGACAATTATCAGATAACCCTCATAACTTTTAAAATACTAAAAAATTCTCCTTAAGTTGGGGGTTATCATATAATTTAAAATCAACCACAAATCCATAATTTAAGAATCAAAACTATCATAAGAGTATGACTAATATGTATCCGGATATTTCAGATACGGATACCGATATTTCACTACAAAACCATATCTGTAACCATATCCTGTCGGTTATAGATTTGAGTAACTATATTTGTATCCTAATGGATACGGTTATGGATATTTCCTTAGATACGGTTATGGTTTAACACCACTACTGATATCTTCAATTGACTTAACGAGGGAATCAAAGTAAAATCTTTTGAACTCTAGAGTGTATTTTGGGGAAAAAAAAAGGAAAAGCACTTTAGGACATCCAAGTGAAAAATGATATGAAGCTTGGCGTAGTTAAATGCAAATTACCCTTAATTCTACAACAAAAGTTTATTTTTGACACGTATAGGCATATGTTTACACGTAAAACATATATATGCTATTCAAAATGTAAATTTCTCAATGTCTTCAAAACATTCTTCACGTAAAAGTTTTGATTTGGACATAGATTCTTCTATTTAAAAAAAAAACCTAGAATCCAGATCCGATCTAAGAGAGCAAACACAAGAAATCAAGTAATATTTCAAATTTATTCTATTATTAACTTTGAACTCTGCCCAAGTGCATAGATCAATTAGATGTCTAAAGTAACCTAAGTATCCATGACAGTAACACTACTTTAATATTAAATTTAAAACTTATTAATAAAAAAACAAAAAAATTTGTGGAGCTCTACCTAATAATCCATTGTTGGATTAGTTGGGATTAAATCAGACAAACTCTCACATTAATCCCCATATGTATTTAAAGTCCTGTGAAAAAAAGCAGCAAAAGGTTAATCTACTTTCTGAAAATTTAGGGAAAATAAAAATATCTATATCTTATTGAGTTCCACAGGAACCCACAACTCCCTTTCTTTGCTCGGGAGCAGAAGAGACCGCTTTGAAAGCCTCAGCTGAACTACCGAATCTGGACCCCAAAAAATAACAGATCCGTTGCTTACCCATTTTAATTCCAGCAGCGGTTTCCGGAAATTCGTCAAAAAGGAACCCCTTTTGAGTTTTGAGGCTCTAGTTCGAATCTTTCAGCGTTTAGAGGTTTATTCTTATCTGGGTTTTCTTCAATTTACTTTCTTTATCGCATTCGAAGTTATTATGATTTTATCTTTGGAGGGGGAAAGTCTAGTTTTTGTTGTGAAATGTGATAGTCTTTTCCCCTTTGTTTTTCTTATTTTTATTTTGGTCTGAAGTATATCTTAAATCTGCTTAAATTGGTTTGAATGAAAAGAATAACCTTGTTCTATAATTGGAATAAAGAAATGGTAGATAACTTGAGGCGCACTCCAAATATAACTTTTGTTATATTCAGCTTGTGTTTGGATTTGGATCAAAGGCTATAATGGTTTATGGTAGCTAATGTAGGCACATTATACCCAAAAAGGTATATTTTTCTTTTGATATATAATTTGCGTACTTAAAACTGGATTTAGTTTATCTTATTTGTTGCCATCGTTGTGTTTGTTTTCAGCTTCTTTGATTAAAAGAGGGTCAAAGGCATGTTTTTTCAGACAATTTTGTTTCTCGTTCTCTACTGGCTTCCGGGAATTTCGTCTGAAGGACACTTGGATGTAGCCATTGTAATCAACGGCTCAGGTACTATAGCTAGCAACAATGATGATTTTGTGTGTGCTACTCTTGATTGGTGGCCCTCTGAGAAATGCAACTACAATCAGTGTCCATGGGGAGGAGCTTCTGTTCTAAATATGGTAAGGTTTTCGATCATGTTTATGTGGTCAAATAACATAGGATGATAGTAGCATTTTATTAAGGAAATGTATGACTAAGATTGTTGGCCTTTCCTCAGGATCTAAATCATCCTATTCTAGCCAATGCCATTAAAGGTATTTGGTTCTCAACCTCATTCCATATGTGCTTTTTTTTTAAAAGCTTCTATGAATTTCTTAGTTGTTCACATCCATTATAGTTCCGTGATGATAACAGATAACATGTTTTTTTTATTACCTTCACATTTTAATTGTGGTTATTTTGATCGTTAGTATCCATCATACAAAGGATTTTGCTTCTTTTGATGAATTCAATCTGTACGCCAATCGAGACTTGATGGCGCTAAGCTGGTCTATATTGACTTCTTCCTTTTCAAACTTTAAAAACAATCTATATCGATTTTGAATGTGATGTAAATCAGAAACGTACTTTTGATGATTCAAGGTATCTATATGTTATATCTCATTGCCAATTGTATTGGTATTGCAGCCTTCAAACCATTGCGGATCAGAATTGGAGGTTCTCTGCAAGACAAAGTGGTCTATGATGTTGGAAATTTGGGTTACCCCTGCGAACCATTTTCAAAGATGGATGATAGGCTTTTCGGATTCTCTAAAGGTTGTTTGAGCATGGCCAGATGGGATGAACTGAATCTTTTATTTCAGAATACTGGGTAAAGCTCCACCTCCCCGATTTATTTTCCTCTCCTTGTATATTAGTTTCGACAATTTTGTGACTGCATATGCATAAGATAATTTTATGATCGCAGAGCAGTTATGACATTTGGCTTGAACGCGCTCATTGGAAGATACCATGTACGCAATGGCATCTGGTCAGGTGCTTGGAACTCTAGCAATGCTCGAGATTTCATAGACTACACTATCTCTAAGGGATATCCGGTTGATTCATGGGAATTCGGTAATACTTCTCTTAATTGCAACCTTTTATTCTATTTTGAAATTTTGACAAATATTTTGAGAATGTTACCTTGTTATTTCGCATTTCAGGAAATGAGTTGAGTGGACATGGAATTGGTGCTCGTGTTGGTGTCGAACAGTACGGAAAAGATGTAATTAACCTTAGATCCATCCTTGATGAGTTATATAAAGACTCCTCCTTGAGGGCATTACTAGTGGCACCTGGTGGTTTTTACGAGCAGCAGTGGTATTCTCAACTTCTTGAGGTTTCTGGATCAGGTGTTGTTAATGCCATGACCCATCATATATACAATCTTGGTGCAGGTAGGACTCGTGTGTGCCATCTATATGTCACTACTTCTAAATGATAGACTGTTGTCTTTCGTAGCTGATTGTATAAAGTAATTTCACTTGATCAAAATCCCAACTTCCATCGTATTTATGGTTGAGCTAAGAAGGATATGATACTTCATGAAGCTAAGGGTAAATTTCACAGAACCTCCCTGAACTTTTGGGGCACAACCGCAACTCCCACACCCCACCAACCAAAAAATTTGAAAAAAGAAACTACTCCCCCCACTTTTAGACTTACACTGAACCTCCTGAACTATTGGAAGTTCTCATAAAAGGCGTCAATTGGTAGAGAAACATCCTTTTTACTATTTACCAATCCTCAACCTAAAAGGGTAAAGTAGAAATTATATTTAGTAGTCAGGGGTAAAATTGGTCAAATTGCCACGTGCTCTGCACGTGACAGTTGTAAGTAATCATCGCCAGTCATGGTACTCAAGTGAGACAGTTCAGGGGTTTTCTATGACTTATAAAGTTCAGGGATATTTTGTGCAAAACAATTAAAAATTCAAGGGATTTAGTGAAATTCACGTACTTATGTCTTTATGTAACTTTGTTGTAAACCTTAGCCAATCTCTACCTTAATTTTCAGGTAATGATCTGAATATCAAACATAAGATTATAGATCCACAATATTTGAGTCAGATAGAAGATGCATTCAGAGGTCTCCAGCTTACGATACAAAGACATGGACCATGGTCTTCTGCTTGGGTCAGCGAAGCTGGTGGTTCATACAACAGTGGAAGTCCTGTTGTTTCAAATGCTTTTCTAAATAGCTTATGGTAATGATATTCTCTCTTTTTTCATATTTATTGTCAATATCGAAAAGGTTTTTCTGTATATATACCATTAAAACATGCGTATTTGCAAAACTTCCCAAAATCTCTGTATTCGCATGACTAACCCCAAATCATCAATTTTTGGAAAAACCAAAGATATGCCCTGATGTAGAACACACGGCAGACATATTTATGTGGAAGCGAGACAGACACAAGCCCAAACGCGGACCCGGTCGAGGAAAATAACTTGTCGCGAAGAACATGTCATATCTTTCAAACCGTAAGTCGGAATTGGACGAATTATATATGAAAAATTTCATATATAATTCGTCCAATTCCGACTTACGGTTTGAAAGATATAACCTGTTCTTTGCGACAAGTTATTTTCCTCGACCGGGTCCACGTTTGGGCTTGTGTCTGTCTCGCTTCCACATAAATATGTCAGCCTTGTGTTCTACATCAGTTGATACCAAGCCAAACCAACCGAAGTTTGGTTTGTCGCCGTTCGTTTCACCAAATCCCTCCGGATTAAGAGATATCAGCGTTTTTATCAGTTTTTACTATTTTTGGTAATGTTTTAGGAGTTGTTTTGATTAGGAAGCAAATCCGGTTTGACCCCAAATTTGACCGATTTACTTCCCTAATCTTAAGGAGGAGTCTTTTTGGGAAGAGTTTTGTTATTTCTATTTTTGGTAAAGTTTAAGTCATAGTAGGAGTCTTGTTTCTTTTCTATTTAAACAGAGTATTGTAAGTCTTAGAGGTATATATTTTCATCAATAAATTTTCTTTTTTAATATTTGCTTCGTGGATTTGAAGTTTTTTGTGGATTCAAAGATCGTTCTTTGTGGATTCAGATAATACCCTTAGTGGATTCCGAGAATTTTTTACTTCCACGCTGCGTCAATTGGTATCAGAGCTTTATTCCTCTGATCCGATGGCAGGTGATGAAGCCTCTTTTTCTCGAGCTGCGTTCGATGAGCTGAAGGCTGATGTTAATCAGTTGAAGTCCGATGCTAATCAGATGAAGACTACCATAGAGCGACTTGCGTCGGCAGTGGAGCATTTGAATACGGGAGGAGTTCGAAATCTCGTTGATGGTTGTCAACGACGTGATCCGACTCCATATGATGAATTCAATAGCGACGACGATAACTATGAAGCCCCGCACCGTGGTGATTATCGCAGAGACCGTCGACAAAGGGATAGTTATGATGCTGGAGGGTTCAAAATGAAGATGGATCTGCCATCTTTTAATGGACAACATCATATCGAAGAATTTCTTGATTGGATTGCAAAAGTAAAGAGGTTCTTTGAGTATATGGAGATTCCAGATGAGCGTAAGGTAAAATTGGTGGCCTATCGACTTAAAGGTGGAACATCATCTTAGTGGAAATCAGTTTGTATGAATCGATCTCGTCAAGGAAAGCCGAAAGTCGATAGGTGTGAAAAGATGAAGAAACTGCTGAAAGCCCGTTTCTTGTCGGGTGATTATGAACAAATCTTATTCGAACAATATCAGAATTGTAAACAAGGTGGAAGAACAGTTGATGAGTACACGTAAAAAATTTATCGGTTGTCATCCCGCAACAGTTTAAATGAGAGCGAGGCCCAACAAATATCTCGATATACTAGGGGATTAAGGATAGCAATTCAGGATTGTGTATCCTTACAGCAGACATATATTTTGGCAGACACAGTTAGCCTAGTCGAAAAGGTAAAGCGACAATTTGGACGGAATAATAGAGGATCGTGAGCAGCTTCCGACGGGTCGTGCACGAGCTTTAATTGTGGTGAGAATAAACAGTCTCAAACTGTTTCTGATCAAGATGCTACAACTGAGAAGGGTACAGGTCCAGCGACCACAATAGCAAAGAAGGCTACACCATCGAACCCATATGCTAAGCCCGATCCAATCAAGTGCTACAGACGTGGTCAACCTAGCCATCAATCCAATCAGTGCCCTAAAAAAAGTGTTGTGAATATAGTGGATCATGAAGAGGAGGATGTAGACCAAGACGATGCTGAAGATTATGGAGGTGATGGGGTGGATCCTGATGATGGGGATCAACTCTCGTGTATTGTGCGGCGATTATTATTGGCTCCAAAGACAGAAGAACCACCACAGACGCATAATATCTTCTGCACGAGATGCACTGTGAAACAAAAGACTTGTGATGTTATCATTGATAGTGGTAACAGCGAGAATATTGTCTCTCGACGCATGGTAGAGAAATTAGGTTTGAAGACAGAAACATCCTGCTCACTACAAGATCAGTTGGATTCGTAAAGGTAATGGCGTGCAGATTGATGATGTCCTAGCAACTTTCTACATGAGATTTGTCAGAAATTTCAGTAGCATTGTAGCGCCTATCACTAAATATCTTCCGCAGATCATATGGCTGAAAAGGTACGTGCTATCCAACAGGAAGTGAATAAGAAGATAGAGAAGTCTAATGCTAAATATAAGGCCGATGCTGAATGACAAAGGAGGAAGAAGCTGTTTGAAGAGGGAGACATGGTGATGGTGTTTCTACGAAAAGAGCATTTTCCAGTGGGCACATACAACAAGCTGAAGAATAAAAAATATGGTCTATGCAAAATACTGAAGAGGATTAGCGACAATGTTTATGTCGTTGACCTTCCTACAGATTTGGCTATTTCTCCTAGCTTTAATGTTTCAGATTTATTTGAGTATTACCCGCCAGAAGAAACAACTCTTCATGCAAGTATAAGTTCGGGGTTGAGCTCTTTTCAAACAGGGGGGACTGATGTAGAACGCACGGCGAACATATTTATGTGGAAGAGGGACAGACACAAGCCCAAACACGGACCCGGTCGAGGAAAATAACTTGCCGCGAAGAACATGTTATATCTTTCAAATCGTAAGTCGGAATTGGATGAATTATATATGAAAATCGCGTACTTTTTCGAGACGGAGCCAACCAAACCAACCGAAGTTTGGTTTGTCGCCGTCCGTTTTGCCAATTTCCCTCTGAATTGAGAGAGATCAGCATTTTTGTCAGATTTTTACTATTTTTGGTAATGTTTTAGGAGTCTGTTTTGATTAGGAAGCAAATCTGGTTTGACCCTAAATTTGACCGATTTACTTCCCTAATCTTAAGGAGTCTTTTTAGGAAGAGTTTTGTTATTTCTATTTTTTGTAAAGTTTGAGTCATAGTAGAAGTCTTGTTTCTTTTCTATTTAAGCAGAATATTGTAAGCCTTAAAGGCATATCTTTTCATCAATAAAATTTCTTTTCTAATATTTTCTTTATGGATTCGGAGATCGTTTTTGTAGATTCAGAGAACACTCTTAGTGGATTCCGATGTTTTTTCACATCCGCACCGCGTCACGCCCCCAAATCAAGAAATCATCAACTTTGTTGGATATGGTGAGTAAAATTTGACTATTTTGTTGATATTTTTATATTGCAGTTACAAATTGGTCTATCAAAGTTGGTGATTTGTTGATTTGGTGGTGCCTTTTTTTGAGGCGGATGATTTGGGGGTAACTTTACAAATACTGAAATTTGGGGTGTAGTTTTGCAATTACACATGATTTAAGGGGTGTATACACCAAAACCCAGCTTTTACTAAATCCGATCTAACATGTTCAGTAACCTGATTTATGCATATAATTAAGGTACCTTGATCAACTTGGGATGGCATCAAAGTATGACACAAAGGTTTATTGTAGACAATCATTAATTGGTGGCAACTATGGTCTCCTTGACACTGAGACCTTCATACCAAATCCTGATTATTACAGGCAAGAACATCCTCAATTGCTCAGTGTAGGATTACTGTTTATATACCAGTTGTACTCGACATAACGCTAAATGTACTTCTGTTTCTTTTATAATAGTGCCTTGTTATGGCATCGGGTTATGGGGAAGGGAGTTCTTTCTATTGATCTCAGCGGATCACCACATTTACGTGCCTATGCACATTGCAGGAAGGATGAGGTCAGTCACTTTTAAATTATTTTCTTCTCTGCATATATTTCTTCCCAAATTACTCATTATGTCAAAACTCGTTCTATTAGAGTAATATATAATATGTGATAAAGAGGTACCTATTTTGTTGTTATCATAATCTTTGCTAGATAATCTTGCTGCGGCCCATATTATTCTATAGCATGTTATGTTTAGAAAATGACTTCTTTCCACAGAGAAGTTTTATTTATAGAAAAGCAAATAGACTACACATCTACATAGTTTTGCAATTTGGGAAAACAAACCTCTCTCGCTTGTCTTATTTTCACCCTCAAGTTGGAACATATATCAATCATGCCCAACTTGTTATATAAAAGTGAAAATACTCTTCTCAGTAATACTTCAGTAAAAAAAGGTAATACTTTAGTAAAAAAGATGACTTTACTTCACCTTTAAGAGGGATACAAAGGTTTTTTCTATATAGAATAATACAGTTACATGCTTTTCTAATCTGAGACTAAAATGGGTTCTCTAACTTTTCTAATATACAAGGTACTTCATAAAACATAAAATCCATATAATTCTTTCTTTGGCATTGCAGGGAGGTGTCACATTGCTGCTTATTAACCTCAGCAAATATGCTGAATTTGAGGTATCGGTTCATAACAAGCTCAATGTTGATCTTGATGACGGAGTGTTTATTAACAAGAACAACTCTTTCGTGCATAGCCTTAAAAGAACAGTATCATGGTTTGGAAGAAAAGGCTCAGATGGTTATGAAAAGAGAGAAGAATACCATCTTACTGCGATGAATGGAAATCATCTAGGTCGAGAAATGTTACTAAACGGGAATTTGTTGCAGCTCACTGAAGATGGAAATATTCCCGATATGAATCCTGTATATGTTCCTGTAAACTCACCTGTATCGGTAGCTCCATTGTCCGTTGCATTTGTCGTCTTCCCTCAGTTTGAAGCTAGGCCTTGTGCGTGATCATAAGTAGTATAGATTGTATTCATTTATCGATTATTTGTAATATTTTCTGGAGAATAATTTGTAAAGCATTAAATGTCTAAAGCTTTGATTCTGTATGTCATTTATCTCAGAGAGAATAAAAACATTATACAAAATGACAAGCTTATCACTGACATTTGAATTGGTTCGATTGGAGAAGTTGCATGAGATTGTAGAGGAATATAATTGATTGCCCAAACGAAATCGAAATGATATATATTTTTAAGTAACAATTTAGAGTTCTCCGGTTCACTTATTCTGTGTTGATACCTTGCATATAATAATAAGAAAAAGGAAAAAGAACAATTTACACCATTTCAATATCACATGAAAAAGAGACGTAAAAGAATAATGTTCACATTTCCAATGTCTTATGAATAATAAATATCCTAAAGAGCCCCCCTTCATTTAGTGGGAACCCCTCAAGTAATTTCCACTCTAAAACTAACAAATGAATACAAAACCAAAATAAACAAAATGAAAGAAAAAGAATACATGTATGACTACATATATATGTATCAAAACTAAAACTAACAAAATAAATGATAAAAAAAAATTACATATACCATCTCCGTGCTTCCAACATTTTCCTCGCATTTCTGCCAACCTTCCGTGCCAAAAACAAGGGCTTTGAACAAATCTTATGTACCGTCATGTTACACATATCAGTAAAGAATATCTCAGAATGTCAATTGAAACCAGCCATTGCCGATGACATTCTTGTTGAGGCTTAGTTCTCCTTGAGACCTCGCTCACTGTTCCATCTTGTATCATTGGTTTTTTACATTTTAATCCTGAGGCTCCAATATATGACAGCTCCTTATGAAATCATTGGTGTAGTCGACATGCTTGGTCCAAAAAGGCCGTAGATGCTTGTAACCAATCTCAAGCCAAGGCTTGCACTGGCCATTATAGTGGATAACTGCAGCATTCTTGATGCTTTCAAGATTTGATTTTTCTTGGTAGCCCAAGCCTAGCATGTGCCAAGATGGGTCGATGGGATGCACGTGCCCTCTGAATGCTATTAGAGCTGGAGGTAATGTGCCAAGCTTCCATAAAGTCAAGTTGGATTTCAAATTCTGAACAAAAATAAACAGAAAAGAATTTAGATTCACAACAAAAGAAGAGGAAAAAGAAATTAAGGAAAATAAATTTTGATTAGAACCTTGTAAGTGTGTTTATGGGTTCTCAGTGCTCTTTGATTTCAATGAATTATTACTTAAAAGGAACCAGTTTCGCCAGTGAAACCAGGATATAATAGGTTGATCCAGTTTCTAACAGTTTGCAGGGGCATATAACGTAAGACTTGAGTAAAGATGCAATTTTTAATTGATATTCTTAGTTCCCCATTAAGGAAGGTGAGTTGGCTAGAGATATTGACCAGGAAATGGATTATGAGGGAGGACTTCAGGTTATGACTAGCTAAACTGGACTTCTCAGTGTAGTGTCTTTTACTTACACCTATAAGAATATAAGTAAGAGTTAATTGTAGATAAACCAACAGTACGGTAGGGAGTTGGCCACTATTTACCCTTCAACTTTTGTTGAACTTAGGTTGAAGCAAATGTGGATATCAGGAATCGATATTCAGAAATTTATGGGTCTTCAAATCATGAGAGTTTATAGGGATTATGTACTCAATATTCCACCTATGTTCAAAAAAGAAAGAGGGCAAAAAAAAAAACAAAAATGGTCTCTTCATTTCGCTTAAATTTCAGTAAAAGGATAAGTGCTACACACAATTGTGGTGTGGTTTAAACAGTCGTTTAAGGATAATGTGTTAAAAAATTTTGACACAAATGAAGGATGAATGAAAGACCAGTTAATAAATACATAACACATTCACAGTTGCATTTATTGGAATGTTCAGAGCTATTAGATGTGTCCCACTAAACTGATAAAAGAGTCCAATAAGATTTGAATATAACAATCAAGGTTAATCAAAAGTGTAGATTGCTAAGGATCCTGATTGCCATCTAAAAAGGAAAAGCAAGACAACTAAAAGCACAAGATTACGAGAAAGAAATCCTCGGAGATGAAACATTACCTCCTTCAGCCAGTAATGATATGCATCTCTAATGTTTGTCTTCCTCCACGCTCTTAAGTCGAAGATATTCATCCCATAGGCCCACGCACACTCATTGGGGTCCAAATTACTGGCTATGAGGGGATGAGAGAAGTTAAAGTATGTCTTGAAGTGCTTAGACATTACCCATCCATCTTCGCCTTTACAAGTTTCTACAGCCCCATTTACTTTACCAGAAAGATCAACATCCCACAATGGTGATAAGTCGCGCTGAATGACAACGTCATCATCAAGAAAAACCACCTTGTTGAGATTCGGAAAGAGCTGTTTTCATGCCACACAAATTGTTGTTATCATATATTCAAAAAAACTGCTTGAAGATAAGTAAACAAAAAAAAAAATTTATACTTTTTGAAGTTTATTCTCTTTGATTATTATTATTATTATTCATTAACGACTCTCTCTAATGTCTCTTCTATTGATCGCTCATGCTGGCAATTTTATTTACTTCTTTTCTAAACCATCTTCCCCATAAATTTCAAATTCTTTTATGTTCTGCCAACAAATTGTCTCTATTCTCAAAATACGATGCAGCGAATTTCTGTATATCGACCCCTCTCCTGGAATATTCCAAACCACCCTCCAGCCACAAGACCATGGGGCATCAACAAATCTCCTCGACAACTCCCCCACATCCGCTATAAGGCCGGCTCATGCATATTCATTGTTCATTTTCTGCAGCTGGCCGAAGGGATGATCACCCTCCCGCTCGATGGTCGGTAGAGTAACCGCTAGGCAACTTCACGCACCTCCAAGTCAATTTAAATAGATTAAAGGCGAGAATCTAATCTTACAGATCTTGGGGCTAAAGTCGACCATGGAAAAAACCTACAATTATAAGGCATCCTAAAAGCCAAAACGCGAACTGGGAACAGACCAGCCTGTGTCGCAGTCTAATTCTTTTGAAGGTTCCCCCCATCAAAATATTGAAACTACCCCACCAGATGCTAAAGTTCCCTAACTTCTAAACTGAGCAAGCAATGCGGCAGGGTCGCGCCAAGGAGAACAATAAATGTGTAAAGTTTCAAAAACGCCAGGCCGCAGGTTTGCCTGTTACCCCAGGGAAAAGGATACTTAGTATCGGAGAACATGCCCTTTTAAAAGGAAAGGCATAAATTTTTGGAAGCTCTCAAGGCGCACTGGCTGCCAGCTGCTCTTGAAATACAGATGTAAGCTCGAGGTTCAAAAGTCCCCACATTCAGCACGCCCCGTGGGTGCACTGGACTGCAGAGATTGATCTATCCCGATAAAGGTAAAACTTGCTAACACCCAGGAGAGAGCGTCACAGGCGTACACTTACTATTCATCAGGTACTTTCCTAAATCGGTCAACCAATCAAATTGATGAACACTTTTCACCTCAACAATCGCCGGGGAAAGAGGATTCAAAGCAAACCAAGAGTGCATCCCTGGATAAGTTTTTTTATCTGTTATAATGTGGAAAACTATCTTTTCAGGTTTTGAAGCTGCACGCACTGTTGAAGTGACAACAACAGAAGCTGCGAGTATGTTATCACTAGCTAAAACAAAATGGTAACAAGAGTTGTCTGAGAGTAGAGGTAGCAACTCTGGGGAAGGCAATTGCTTTCGAGCATGAGCATTGGAGGAATACTCATCGGTCAAACGCAAGGAGAGACAATGAATTCCTTTTGGTATAGCAGTTGCTGCAAAATGTTTGTGCAGTTGTACTGCTAACCTTGATCTTTTCACCTCCTTGTCCATACTTTCCATCTGCATGGAATAAATATTACATCAGAAATTAATGTAAATAAACAGGCATCAAACATGAAAAGACATCTAAAAGGCATTACACAACTATTAAACCAACACTTATCAAAAATCTAAAACGTATAAACATGGACATGGGACATAAAGATTCCTTACAAAGCAGGATAAAGAGACCGGTAAGGTTACACTTGAATATATAAAATAAGGAAGAGAGTTTATATACATGAATACATAGACATGTCCATGCATCCAGGAGTCCAGACGATTATTATCATATCAAATGCACAAATATTTACACATATGCTAAATTTTTGAGTTCTAATAACATGCTTATAATATCCAAGGGACAGATCTTGACTCTTCAACTTTCTGAAGAATAGCAAGATATATCTAAGGTTATCATAGTTTTATTCAGGTCAATGTTTTAATGATCTTTCCCACTAAAGTAACTAACACTTGAATCTCTTTTCTGTTAAACTCTTTACCCATTCACATACTGTTACTCGATCTGTTCTTTTCAATCATAAAATTGGCCAGTCAGCATCCTAGAATGATAGAATCGAGGTTCTGGAGTATCTAATGATAGATAACTGGATAATACTAATTTTATGTCGGAAACACTTTTAATGATCAATCTAAGCAAAGACTAGGCTAGACTTGACAGAAGCCTGATCGACATAACTGGCTTACGCTATGGGTTCCGATCTTTTTCAAACTGAACACTTGGGCAAAGCTCAAACTTGCTGTTTACAATTAGTTGAATTTGTTCACGCTCAGGTTTTGTGATTAAAAGATTCAGAGCGTGAAAATTTTATCCAATCTCAGTAACGAAGTCACTTTATACATAAGGGTCACCTCCAATCTTTAATTAGAAGCTATCATATCCTTTACTATACCTAAGAGTGTGGTCAGTTTAGAGTGCCTTTATCCTAGCTGCTTGCAGAAGTATAATCTTAACATAACTCTAACTTTGTATAGTTACACGCATAATATTATAATATCTTTTACTGCACTCAAGTTCAGCCCTCTCAACTGTGTTATTTCAGGTGTAGATTTCTTGGAACGTCATCTCTTAGCTGCTCAGACTTTCTGACAAATATTGTTGATCACATATCTCATAATGGCATTTCCCCTACAACAGATGTAGGACAGCCACATAGTAATGAAAAAGCATATTCTTTTTTAGTTCTTGATCTTACAATAGTAATGATTGCTTGACTCCTAAGAATGAAAATGCTCCAGCATTCTAATAACCACCAATGAGAAATGTGATCAATTTTCTTCTCATGCTTTTGCCAAAGCCACATCTCTATTACCTACTCCAGTTAT